AGGGGGAGGGGGAGGGGGAGGGGGAGGGGGAGGGAAGGTGGTGGTTGTTTTGAGATTAAAACGTATTTTTTTTTCTTGGCCTGAAGAACGCATGGTAATGCTATTTACTAAGATCTTTTTAAGGGATCGCACTGAATTTGTTGTCAACTTTGTGGATAGCATGTGACTTTCCAATCGAAATGAAATCGCAAACTGTTTGTAGGAAGTCTTTGTTTATAGCTGTCACTTTGGAATAATGATTCCATCCGTAGGGTCCAGAGTATGGTTTCTGTTTCTTTCTGCGCGAACATTAGCCTACGATCAACAGTTTCGTGAGCCATCGTTTTCTAGAATATTTCATCAATTTATTTTAGACATTACTTCGTTTATTCTTTCGTTCTCCTTGGTTCTTTACTACTACCATGATATCCGAAATTCCGCCCATCCGAATAAGCGCTGTGGGCGGAATTTGGGAAAACTCCGGTACTAGAACGAAGTTTGGGACGAAGAGAGTAAAGTGGTCACAGATAGTGGGGTAACATTGGGACGATATGTAGCAAGCGTTGAATACCCTCATAACTTGCATTCCCTACTCTACAGACAATGCTCAAACTCTCCAAAACACTAAAGCCCACTGGGGAAGGAGCATCCAAAGTGGAGTCTTTTCAGGGAGATGAGGAAATGGCTGGACTAATTTCAGCTCTTCACGAGTCAAATTCACTGTGGATCGACACAGCGATCCAACGATCGGGTCTTTCACAAGCCATCCTGCATTCTCTTGCCACCATCACTGAAATCTCCCAACTGGGAGAAAAGTTAGTAACCCCTCTTCTTGTTTCCTACTTACCTTTTTTCCCATTCTCTTGCAATGTTTTTTTTATTTTCTATTTTTTTGTTCTTGTTTTAAGTATGTCTCAAGTGGAGGAAATCGAAACCCCACCACTTTGTATGCGTCTTCTTAGGTCAAATTATTCTCCAGAAGGTTTTTCAAGCCTCCGGATTCTCCTTCAAATCACAAATAACCTCCTTCAACTAACTGAATCGCATTTTGAATCACAAGAGAGACTTTCAGTCCTATCCACTCCAGTTGCTAATGGCCGTGGAAGCCGAAATTCACCTCCTACCGATGCGGGTGCATATTACATATTACTTATATTCGTAATTCGACACTTCTGTGCAGCTTGCTAACCTTATTTACCTTTATAGCTAAGAAGAGGATTAGTGACTCACTTCCACAGCAATCGACTCAAACTTATTCTGGACTTCTTCCGTGGTGTGTTCCAATGCCGTCAACTCTTGAAATTGCAACGTTGAAGGCACTAGCTTCCAGGAAGTTCTCTTCTCCACTTTTGGCTCTTGTTGCTTCGTGCTATGCATTTGGGCCCTCGCCAATTTGCCGGACACGGCCTCGTCATATAGCTACTCAATCGATTTTGCTGAACACTGTTAGAGTGGCTCTGAATCCCACTACGAGAATTGATTTACACCCTCTGTGGTTTGAGTTCTTGAGGAATTCTCTGGTGCATTGGGGCTCGGCTACGGCTCTCCTGATAAATACAGTGATCACGCAAATGTCTGTGGCCATCCAACTGCTTGCTGAACCCTTCTGCCATGCACTTAAGCCTTCTGGGTAAGTTGAATTCGCGAGGATGCGAATCAAAGTAGTTTGCAGTAATTTTGTTTGGGGGGTGGGGGTGGGGGTGGGGGATGAGAGAATCGCTATATTGGCGATATTTTGATTTTTAAACCATGGACAAACGTTATTGGAGCAAAGGTCGAAATTTCAGCTCGTGATACACAAATAAGTTGAAGGCGGTGTTTACGTGATTTTGCATGATTTTTTTTACTGCCGATAAACTTGAGAATTGCGCCCTTTAGAAGTTTCACGTCAATACAGCCATTTTTTTGCTTTGTCGTATATTTTGGTATTAGTCATATACCCCCCCCCCCCCAATGAGCTCGTCGGATGTGTGTTTATTGAAATGCATCCATCATAAATGTTGAACGCGGTGGGGATGTCGACCTAATTCGGGGTAAACTACTGCGAAAGTTATCGCTTAATTGCGTTCAACCTTAGCTTTCTCCCTCTAATCGGAGTCTGCTTCATTGGAAGGATGCATAGCAATGTCAATGAAACTAGATCATCCAGCAGTGCTCTTCACCAAATACTCAGTCGTACTTCACCAAGGTATTATTTATTTATATCAATTGGCATTCGTTTTGATGGTTATCATTAGCCCTTTAGGTGACTTCAGGCTTCACAGAGGTGAATGATCTCCAAAGTGAAAGGAAGTCGAGAGGGGGGGGGGGAACAGAAAAGTGTTTTGAAAACGAAGGTAGAAAAAATGGGAGATGAGTACTATGGAAGTAGTCGAATATGACATACAGTAGGGTGATGGTAGTTTGAAGTCAGAAGTCGACTGCCGGTTTATAGATTTTTTTGCCGTATGAGTGTACGTTGCCCAGGGTGCACCACGTGGAGGTAAGTCTATCGCACACCCCACTTTACTAAAGTGGATCCCAGCATTCTCGAAACATTCCAGTTTTACCAAGATTTCATGGGGAAAGTTAACTTTCAAAAGTCTGATAACTTATTAATTAAATCGGTGTTTTGAGCTCGGAAAACAAACTTGCATCGTGCTCTTTGCCAATGTTTGCATTGAAAAACATCGGTATCGAAGCGGTTTACTTGGAGTATCGTTATGTTGTAGGTCGTGTCAAAACTAGCTCTTCAGTTGGGGGGGGGGTGGTAGATTTCGATATTGCCACTCGGAGAAATCCAATGATAACATTAGGGGTGCTCATAATGAGTTTCGTCGAGTGTAGTTCTAGATGGACGTGAATGTGGCAGAGGTTGAAACACGTCTCTGAACTGAAATCGAGTGCCGTCCAATTACAAACTAGGAGGGTGGGGAGTAGTTCTTACTTAAGAAACCAACCAATTGTTGGGGCGCATTGAGAAGTAGGGATAAGGTACTTGGATATGGAACACCTACCTGCAAGCTTACAAATTTGCAGAAACGTATTGATAAGTTGCTCACCACTGCAATGCAATGGTGCATTCGAAGAAGAATCACTCTTTAATGTAAGATTCTCAGCACATTTTTGAAGCGATTTCTTCTATCCTTGATAACTTGAAAGTGGGGGGGGGGGGGCGATGTGTGTACCATCTTCTTCATGTGACTCCATGGTCCATACTGGAGTAATACCCACTGTATTCTTATTGCATTGTATATTTGGCAGATTTTCTGAGCATTTTTCGCCATCGGCCTACCCTCCCGACTACACCATTCTTCTCTTTGCCTGTTTGGAGGGCATTCTGCACACCTTTCTCCTCCCCTTCGGCCAATCCAAGTCCACTCTTCTGCGCGGTGTAGTGCTGGGTACCACTGCATTGGCTCGGGATGAGTCTCTCCTCCTCGTCTCCTCGACAAGATCTTCACCTACCCACAGCGATAAACAGAAGCACGCCAACAGCAACAACAACAACAACAACTCGTTTTCATGCTCACCGACTAATGGTATGAACTCCTCTTGAAGTTATCTTTCCGTGGAACATTTGGACTATTTATTAGCCAATCGATTTCTCCTTTTGCTTTCTCATTAGGTCAAATTTGCGCCTAGACGTGATTGACATTTTTGTTGATCTTATCTTCTCTTCTCATGACCTCGTCTTCTCCAGTTCACCTGATGGCATTAATAAGATTTCAGATCACGTTTGAGTGATGCTCTGTCAAGATCACACTGCATTATTTGAAGTGATATTATTGTCTCAAAGGGCGTCTCTCATTTGACCACATTTCAGGTGTGTTAGAGGAGCTAATAGCCTTATCCACGGAGTTGGTAGAGGTGAAAAGACAGTTACGAGATTTATTTTAGCCGAAAATTGGCGAATGACCTGGGAAATCGCTTCGAGCTTCCACTAATTAACCTCTCTAAGTCTCCAATACTTTTCACAGCTGTATACGAAGTATTGGGGGGTAAATGACGTTTTATTTGCCTGCCTTTACACCTCTCCAATTTTTCTTGCTCCTTCTAGCGCATGGATTATCCAGTGGTGTGTTTGATACACCATGGGCTCTGAGAGACTCTCTTCAAGTGGCCGAGGCGTTGAAAGATTTCCACTCCCTCAATAAGTTATCTGACTTCTCTCCTGTGGGTCAGGCGCTTCAACGTATACAACTGGCCTTCCTCGAAGACACCTCCATTCCTTCTACTCTTGCGGGCTCTGCTGCTCTTCTCTTTGCCGCAAGGGTAAGTTCACCGACGCCTCCATGGAGACAATTCGATATTCATTATTTTTTGAGCCCCTTTATTTTTAATTCTGATTAACGCGTTGGTGATACAAAGTAGACGACTGTGGGGGGTGGGGTGGGGTTACACCCCTTGCTATAAATGGGAGTTTGAAATCTTTACATTCAAAAAATGGTGTTAATATGTAAGATATGATTTAGGTGTAATGATATCTGTAGCTTTCAGTATTACACGCTTTCAATTCCATGTCTCAAGTTCAATGCTCGACGATGTTGCAATCTAACTTATTTCCTTTTTCCAGTCAAATATTTGCTGTTTGCTCGGCTTCTGATTTTGATGTCTTGAGATAGTCCGGCTTGACAAGCCTCTTGAAGTATTGTTCTTTTTGATGCATAAGGCTTCTCTATCATAAGTAGTGTCTTTATAACAGAGATCTTGAAAGAAATTCGGAGTATATCTGGTTGCTTTCGAAACTTTGACAAATTCGTAAACTGCAATACTTCCATGGCCATTTTCATTGTTAATCCTTTAACACCCGTAGAACCATGCGGTCCTCTTTCAAAATAGGATCCATTGGTTCTAGACGCGTAACAGAAGGCGCTATTGCCGTTTGGAACACGTTCAATACGTCTATAGTCTTCGCCTGGTACCACTAGCACTCATTACGTCGGCGGCATCAGTCTGCTGGGAGACACACGTGGTTGCGGTTGAGTACATTTTTCAAAAAAATTATCAGGGTGTTGAAAGGCTAATCAACCATTTCTCATTCTTATAAGGCGATGACTCGTTTGGATGGTTCTGCTTCACCGTCTATTCGCTGGACATATGTGTCTGTGCACTTATTATAGTGGTTGCTTCGTCAGTGCCTTTTTGTCTTACATTGGAGTAGTATCGATGCCAGCAGTGTGCAGTGCGGAGATTTCCGTGTTTTTTTAGGATTCACCCTTCAAAGAAATAGCATTCACCTCTGATCTGCATTTTCTTCTAGGATTTAATTGCTACGGAGGTGATGCCGATGTCTTTAAATTCAGTCCAGAATTGGGCTCGAGGTCGTGCGGAGATGTGCCACGTCTTTCCCACTCTCCTCGCAAGTCTCGCCAGTTTGTGGCTAGCTCTCAATCAATCCTATGATCCACGAAATTCTCAACTGTCACCGGATGATGATTCGGACACCTCTTTAGTCGAGACTGGAATTGATGCCTTGAGTAAGTGTCCTTAACTACTTTGTGAAAACAATTCAAATATTGAACATCAGGCCAGGTGAAACATCATTTTCCAATTTTTCTCGCTGTTTACCACTTTATCTTCCATATCCGAAATATATCTACTCAAACAGTCTTTGAGTAGTATGTTAAACTAGGGTGGTAAAGAAACCTCTTAAATATGCCATTTGGTAGTTTGTATTAATAACTGAAACGCTTGCTTTATGCATCCTTTGATGTCAGCAGGTCTCCTCACAGGGTGCTAGATTGCCAACTCGATTCTACTCTAGGTCAGAAGAGGGGAGATTCATTGAGCACGTCATACTATATTCTTGGTGCCTATTTTACTAATTTTCAACTAACAGCTTATGCGCACAGGGATACGCAAATCTTATCAATTCTAGTGACCGCTACAAACTTGCTGATTGGCACCTCAAATCTCACTGAATTAAGACAAACCCGAAAATTAAGGTTACGAATTTTGTCTCCTTTTCTGCGTAGATGGTGATACCTCACTTTCCAATTCCGAAGCACCTCCCATTCGTCGTCGGTGTGGCTTTGATCGTCTGGCTGCTCTCACAACTTTGGGTTATCCTGATGTGGTGCGTCAGACAATACACAACCTCCTGAAACCCATAGCGCTGACTCACCCCGCCCTCGTGATCTCCGCTTTGGCCTACGTTTGGCCTTCACTTCTCTCGCCTGCTGGCCAAAGCGGTCTAGTGAACATGGACGTCATGTGGCTTCTGGCTTCTTCTCCCAATGGTGAGATCCAATTTTGTACTCTTTACTTAATTAAGCAGACATAAAGTATGTGGCGCCGTCATTGCTCATTTTGGGGAATAGGTTCACTCCTGTCACCGTAAGGGTTGTTATATATGTTTTTTTGTTTTTGTCTCATGCAGAGCTGTATTAAAATGGCCTTTTTCATATGCACTCTCGAAGTCAAGCGTTTATTTATAGCAATTGTCTTCGAGCTTCACAGAAGCGAGGAACATCAAAATCACAAAATTCGAGAGGGGCAGCAGAACAGGGATTCACAGATATAAAGAGACAGACCATACACAAAGGTAGAGTAAAAGGTAAGTTAATGTTGAGCACCGTGGAAGTGGTGGAATATGACATACGTTGTGGGTCATGGTAGGCTAAAGTGTGCATCCTTTATGGATCACTGTGTGAAAAATTGAATGAGCACAACTGTAGGCCGTCGTGTAATCTTACACCGCTTTCATTCACAGTGTCTATTGTGTTAGTGTGAATGCGCACTTTATTCCATTGTTGTTTTTAGGACTTCCTTTGACTGTTCGTCAGTGTGCACTGGTCAGCCTCATTAGTGGAGCCCAATGGGGATTCCAAGAAATCGGCAATAAGACTGGTCGCTATGTGAGTGTCGCCAGCTTTTCCAACGAAGACGACGACATGGAGAAACCAATTCCTCTTCTCAAAAATCCCCTCGCCGTCAAAACTCTCAAAAATCTCCTTCGCTCTCCACCAACCTCAATGGCCCACGCCTATGTTGTTGATCTACCCGGGAACGGTGACTCCGCTGGGTCATCATCTCCTACTGATGTCCGCTTGCTGTCCATTTGAATTAATTTTACTACTTAAATGAACTAAGTAATATTTCTTACTTATGTTTTTTAGACTATCGTCCCTACTCAAATGCTACAGTCCTCCCTGCTCCACTTCCTCTATGCTTGGATTGTTGCCACTGGAGGAATTGACATTTCCTACTTTCATCTGGCGAGTATTCAGGACTTCTTGCGTGATGTGGTGCCACTTACGTCTGTGTCCGCTGCCATTTCAACCGCCACTCCTGGCAGTGCCATCACCTCCCCGATTTCGGTTTTCATCCTTGTCAAGCAAGTTATTGATTTGAAAAAAAAATAATTTCTGAAGAAATAATTGCCTCCTGGAAAAAAAATAGAATGCACATCTGAAACATTTACAGAGGGAGGAGGAGGTGGACTTCGTTGCTGTTGAATTTTATTCTCGAAGATTTATTTATATCAAATGGCAGGCGTCTTGATGGTTATCATTAGCCCTTTAGTTGACTTCAGACTTCACAGAGGGGAAGGAACATCAAATTGAAAAAAGGCGAGAGGGGAGGGGAAACAGAAGAGTGTTTCAAAGATGTAAGAGACAAACACAAAGGTAGAAAAAAAGGTAAGATGAGTACTGTGGAAATAGTCGAATATGGCATAGAGTGAGGTGGTGGTAGTTTGAAGTGGGTAGTCAATTGCCAGATCAATTCTATGGCATGATCTTAAGTAATGCGAAAAAGAAATTTTTCACATAATGGCGCACTAATTTTGAATGACGCATTGTTTTAAGCATTTTCGTAAATTTACTTTTCAATGGAGTGTTCAACCGAATTGGACTTTCACGCCGCGGTTCTTTGCTTCTTATTAGTCAGGGCAACGTTACATTGTCAAAACAGCTAATAACAATCGAGAGTTTTCCTTATTGAATCGATTCTATCTTCTAACAGCATGACCACTATCGAAATCTCTCCTATTATCGGCTCCATAATACGCTGAGCGTTATTTAATTAGTGGATGAAGAATTTGTTTTTAATAAGATTATTTGTAATGAAAGTCGTTGAAGTAATAATGATTGATACGATGGGGCTAACAATATTGCCATAATTCCATCATTATTCGTACACCTACTCACAGAGTGTGTGTGTTTGTGTGTAGTTGCCTTTTCATCCAACATTTGCTTTTCCTTTACCACAGAATCTTCAACGAAATCATTGTTACATTGGCGAACAAGGATGAGAAACGCGATCAAAAGGAACTTCAGGTTTGTCATGATTTCTATTCCCCCCACCACTCCCACCTCCAATTCCAAAACCATTTTTGCTGATTGTCCTATTTGTTCTTGTCGAATATTTTCCACAAATTCATTGACATCAGCAGATTATTCTAACCTTTTATTTATTTTTCCGTTTTTTACTCTCTTGGTTGCATGCATAATCGTCTATGTCGTACGTATTATTTATGTTTAGCAAAAAAATACAATAATTGCTGATTAGACCGCTATTACCAAGTGTAGTTTATTGCTGAGTGTTGATTATCGTCTATTCGGTTGACCTGTATCACAGGTCAACCATCGTGCGAATTATGTGTTTCTTTGGGTTAATGGTCAGAGTAAAGTGCACATAATTGCTACCTTTAGATGCTTAAGGTCGAAATATCGAGATATTTGTGTCTTTAAGGGGGGGGACAACTAGTTGTCTCGCGACAGTAGCCACCGTTGTACGAAAATTTTTTCATTTTTCTTTGCATTCTAAAGGATTTATGCCAACGTTTAATGGAAGCGACAGCGTCTATTGCAGGAATGGCTCTTGAACAGGCTACTTGGTTCCGCCGTGGTCTTCAAGTGCGTTCCTCCGCGGTGGTTCCACCCTCAATGACCTCTTCCACTCTGGAAGTGTCCACCTCATCTGGCGTCTCCTCAATTGCAGCCTTTCGGCCGAGTGACCTCATGCTCCATCCCATTGCTTCTGAGTCTGCTCTGGGTGAAATGAAATTCAATGGGATCAGTAATTCACCGGGAGTCCTGCATGACTCCCTTGAAATTGTGTCAATCGCATCCGCTACAGGTTAATTTATTGAAATTTCAGTAATATAACCTCCACTACCTCTTATAAGTGTGTGTGTGTGCTTAGGATTTTTGTACCTATTCCACACAAAGAAAATTAGATTCGGTAATATTGATCGTCATTGTTAGAGATTAAATAAAACCCATGAGTCCGATTGCCTGTTTGTCCAATCGGATCGTGCATTGGCCGTCTATACAACTCTGAAAGGCTATATATGGTCACATTTACAGTTGCTATATGAGTTCTTTTAAGGTTACCTCTTCCAGGAATGAACGGATCTCTCGGGGTTTTTCAGTTTAGGTGACACTTATGACATTATCAATTTATGGCCTAATCTAAGTAGGAGGTGGAAGTG